ACTCTATGATTTAAAGGTTTGGTAGATATTTACAAGGAATTTATGAAACTTGTTTGCAAGCATGATTATTCTCTTACAAGTTCATTATATGTATTTGAAAGATCATACGTGCATGGTCGTTTAAATGCTTTATTTATGCAAAAGCTCTAAGCCCTTGGCTTGTCCCTTTCTCATAGCTATTCATGAAGTCTTTGTAACTCACATGTTAGTTTTCCCCAAATTTTTTTTATTGAAGATTAGTGATAGCTGTTGAGCACTCGTGTCATAGAAACGTGGTCTGTTTTTCCTTTGATAAATTACATAACAACCTTTAAAGTCTAAGGAGTTGGGTCATGTTTTGCTTAAAGAGTTGATCTTTAAATTTTCATTTATAAATGTTTGTTTATGGATAATTGTTAAGCCATTGAATGGCAAGATATTTCTCATGCTGTTATGTAAATTCTATGAATGATGGCCTAAGGTTTTATGACCACCTTGGGTGCCAATTTACAGATTTTATATGAAATGTACTAGGTACAATTTCTATGAATGAAAGTGTTCACACTTTTTATGTTGAGATGTCCATAATTGTGTGGTTCACCTATGTATAGATGTTTATGATTATATAACTTATGTTATGCATGTATGATGATAATGATGGCAAATGAGCCAAATATGATTGATTGATGATAGAATGATGAAAAAGGCTTACTAGGATCTAGTGGGCCTATCCATGTAGGTCCCAATGTTGATCACGATCCCTCTAAAAAATGGAATGTGACAGATACTTGTTCCCCTCCTTATCCACTCATTGAGTTATATGCTTGCCATTTCAAATTCATGTTTTAGTTTTAAGATCAAGAGATCAATGGGGTCTTCACTTGGAGCAGTCGTCATCTATACCTTTGGTAGGTTCAACTAGAGGTTCATGTTGATGATCCTAGATATCCACTAGTCACGCTCTGTTGTCCATGTCAAATTATTTTTGAATATGTAGTGTTGGTACACTAAATTATAGCCAAAGGTTTGGCTTATGATACAAGTACTTGTTATGTGAATTTTCAAATTGAGAGTGAATTGAACACACAGATTGTGTGTTGTATCGATGTGAGACATGTGAATGTGATGATATATATATATATTTGTGATAGTTTGCATGTTTATTATATGATGGTATGTGATATATTTTGATGATGTCATTTACGTTCACGAGGCTTGCTTTAGTTTAATGAACTTTGCCTACCTAGGTCCTTGGGCTGGGAAATTGGGTAATGATAGTAAGGCAACTTGATGATCTTAAGTTGAAGGATCGCTTACTTAATTATCACATGAGAATTTGTTCCACAGACATTTGAGCAAAATATCAAATGAAATTCTCATAGTGGGTTATGTTCAGTGAATTTATTCATGTAACAAACAACCACATGTTAATTCAAGTATCTTCATGCTTCAATTTATGAGATCGATCACTCACCTAATAAGTGAGGAACATAACCGTGTACCAGTTTCTCTTAATCTTTAATTTTAAGATTTAAAGTACTAGTTATAAATTTTTTTTCCTTTAATTTTAATCTACTTTCTTGAATTTAGGTGAAAAAGATGTGTTAAATGGTAGTAAAACCTTTTTTAAAGCAATATTTTAAGGAGTATCAAATGTATGCATCTCATTTTGTTTGGACTTTCTAATAATTATTATTGTGAACTCTTTTATTTTTCAATTTCCCATATTGTTTTTTCTATTTAATGTTGTATCTATTATTTCATTTGTTTTATACCATTTTATTTTGAATTATCAAATTGGACTCCAAGCCCAAGTATGGAATTAGGTTTAGAAACTAAATGAAAAAATTGAACATCACACCTATTTCATTAATTGGGTTTATGATCCAATGTATAAATTATTTTTGGATTGCAAGGACTTAATGGGCTGTAATACTTCATAGTCTAAATTAAATACTGGAAAGAAAACAAAAACAAAAACAAAAATAAGAATATAATATTATTTATATTTTCTGGAATAATTAAGAAATTTTTTTTGAGTATTATGTATTTTTTAAAACAATATTTTAGAAAGTCTCTATAGATAGGAGTTCGTTTTAAGAAAAGCCCCTGTTTGTTATAAAACCTGTATACGGAAAAAGAAAGAAACT